AATAAATCCATTCAATGCTTAAGGTTGAAGAATGTTCGCAATACTATTCGGCGAAGTAAAGTAAAACACTTTCGGTCAATTTAAATCTACTTCGTTTATCTCGCGCAAAAAGCGTAGTCCGGTCAATTTAGTTGACATAAAAAGAGAGGCATTGCGCGAAAGGCTACGCCAATCAACCGTAATTAAAGGCACCCTTTCCGCCGCTTTAATCAGCGTTACCCAGGCTTGTCCTCTACCAAATAAATGTTCTCCGGGATTAAATCGGCCACACTCGCATTGCACCATTGCTTTAAAGTTAAAAGAGCTTGACTCCAATGACACAGATAGAATTACAATAAGATAAAAAAGCAGCTCTCGTAAACGATACCATTCAAACAACTTAAATAACGATCAATTGAAAATGGTGGTTAATAAACTGTAAATTGAATAGGTTGATAAAGTTACAATTACCGCTGAAAATTTGTTGTCCAACAAAGTAGCTTTTCTGGGTGCAGTTTGCAGTAGCTATTTTGTAACTCCGCTTCGAGGGGGAGTAGTAGAGCCGGGGAGAAAGCCGGAGGGATGGTGAAATTACATTATCGTCCTCTCCGTGACGCGATACTGGGCCAATTCCGGCCTGGCACCAGGACAACACGTACATAACTTAGCAGCCCGCTTCCTAAATACGACCGTAGCCCGTTCCTAGCTGTTTGTATAATATAAATAAAGTCCGCGTTATCTTATGGCGGCCGAACACATCCTCTTTGCTGCTATAGCGCGACTCCGGGTCTGTATATATCTTGAAGATAAACCACGCGTATCGTGCGACAAAACGGCGGTTTTATTCCGGAATGCTTTACAGTTTTGATGGTTGGAATATAAATGTGTATTCGACGTAAAACGTATGACATAGAAGGAAAGTTGTTCAATTATGAAAGTTTGTAATAATAAAAAATTTAGTCCAAAACATATTCACTCTATAGCCGCCTCACCACCTATTTACACGTACACACACAACATTGTTTTTTTTTAATAAACAATTATTGCTCTTTCACCAAATACGTGGCGATGAAATGAACGAATTTTATGATTATTTATCATTCTATAAATAACGACTTCAATTAACTTTAAATAAACAATCATAAATTAAAGTGAAGACATAGAAATAAATCATTTGTGGATTAATTCGAACGGTTACAAATGGTGTGAAAGGATATTAAAGATATTAAACGTATAATTGTGGGTTATACCGAATAAATCATACTTGGTTAATTATTAGATTGAAGCGTAAAGAGAGTCGTATCCTTGGAACCATGTAATTTAATGATGTTGTTTGCAGTTTCCCAAGAGAGATTATTGTACATTATTATTGTACCAATGAAAGGTTTTCTCAAATATGGATGCTTGGTATGCTCAGTATTAAAAGGGACAGACAATGTGATGTAACTAAATCAAAAATTAATTACAAGCACCGTATTTCCTGGATATTAAGGCTTTATGATTTATCAAATTGAAAAAAAAAATCAAATTAAATCATCCCATACCGAGAGTGGAAAAAAAATCACTATGGATTAGTTAGATGCCTCAAATTTGAAATGTTTTAAATTTTAATTCCGCTAAATGAAATCGAGTGTAGATTAGGTTTTTGTTTTATTATTCCACATTTTTCAATCTATTCCACGGATTTTAGTTATTGCATTAAAAATAATATTTGGCTGAGCATTTCCAAATGATTTATTCATAACACTTTTAGTATGTTCAACTTCATGTTCTATTTTACTAGGTAGAACACTCCGAAATAATTTCAAATTCCTTCACATTTGTTATGTGATTGGACACATCATTTTTGTACAAATTTTGATTTATGGCATACGTCGAATTAAATATATGTATCGAGCATTGTGCTCTTCCCAGCTTATAGTTTATTTGGATGACTACTTATGGAGCCACTAAGATCAATGCTTTACCTTTAGTACGAGTAAGCAACTTATATCAGTATATGTATGACATCTCGCAACTGATTCCGATTGTTAATCGTGTGTCTAGCTTTGAAATTTATATTTTTAATAAAGAAATTTAACATATTTGACAGATTATAGGTACTTGAGTTGGATGAACGAATTATGGATCTAATAGGACTATTAAACTTGAGGACCTTCGACCTTTGTACGGTCTAATGGTCTGGGATTTATAGCTCCATACATATTCACTGCAAGAAATTCTTCTCTTTTTAATTAAACCAACGTTCTAATCAGACGGAGTAATAGAAAGATTATTGTCCTTAACCTTCTTCCTTATATTATTGATTATTTTGTTTGTGGTCATCTATACCATTCTTTCATTTTCATGTTTTTTTTTTGTCCTTACTCGTATATCCATAGCAGTTATTGGAAGATTGTTTATAGTTCGTGAAGCAAACATTTCTTTAGACTTATTAACAACATCGTATGTATGGTATACATTTTGTAGTTTCCATTACAGGTTATTAAAAATAATTAACGATTTCTTTTATAACGGTAACTAATTATATAGTAACAATATTTAATACCTAATAAATTAAAAAGTGAAGGCTATTAGGTTTCTTTTCATTTGTGTTACAACTCGATGCTCTACATTATGATGCAAAGTCATGATTGATGTTATACAATATGTTGTAATAATTCTAACTAAGAACTTTGTAAGCAAAACAAATTTTAATAATACTTCTAGTATCATAAACATGCCAGAATATTACTAACATCTCCCTATGTAATTAATCTTTAATTTAAAACTATCTTCAATTCCATAAATAAATAATATCTGTCTACAGGACGAAGTTTCAAGTAGTTTATTTAAAACATAAGCAACTCCAACGTAAGCATCTCCACGTCCACTGAGTTGCTTGGAAAACTCTATCAACTCTTTTCTTGTAGCACTTTTAGTATCAAAGCTAGTTTATATGAACGCTGTAAGCATCTTTAGCTCTATGGAGATGATGCATTGATATTTTTTTGCATGGAACAACTAGTATCGAACAATTTCTAGTTCATAACAATGTCAGAGGAGTTCTAACATCTTTCCATGTGGGGCAGAGTTAACCCTAAAGTAACTCTACTTCTATAGAGTTGTTAAGGAGTCTCTTCATAGAGCATTTCTCTAATTACAAAAGAATTTCTAGCTTTATAAAGATAACACGATAGTTTTAGTATCCCTCTATATGATTCATCATTAATTTAAAAGTATATCCAATTCCATAGAGATACTTGGATGTCTCTAACATCTGTCTATAGGCCGATATTTCAAGTACTAAAGCATCTCTAGCATCAATAAAGTTACAAACTAGTTCTAACAGCACCCTTCCTAGTTTATTTAAAACCTAATAAGATCTCCAAGTTCATACAGGTGCTTGGGAATATCTAGCAACTCTTTTCTGGGGGTACTTTTAGTATCAAATCTTCTTTATGGGCATGGCTCTATAGAAATTCTGGGAAGTCTTTGATATTTTTCTACATGGAGTAAATAACTCTAGTATCGAGTTGTTTCTAAAAGTCTGTACACAGAGCAAATCTAATTATTTAAGCATTTCTTGCTTCACAAAGAAAACAGGATAGTTATCAAATGTCTCTATTTGGTTTATCTTTCAATTAGAAGTATCTTCAATTTCACGGCAATACTTGGAATCTTGACATCGGTCTACGGAGTGAATTTCTAGTACTGAAGTCTTTCTAGCATCATAAATGTAGCAGACTAGTTCTGACGCCTTTCTTTGCAGCTTAGTTATAACTTAAAAACACCTCCTAGTTCATAGAGGCGCTCGGGAACCTCTAACAACTCTCTCCTTGGAGTACTTTTAGTATCAAAGATTCTTTATTGGGATGGTGTAAGCATCCCTATGTAAAGGTTTTGAACGTTTTTCTACATTACCTTAGTAGTCTCTATGGCGGTTAAATTTCATTCTTAATAACTGAAAAAAATCATGTGCAAGAGTAATCAGTGTCCTTCAACATGTAGATATTTACAATTTAATAAAATAATAATCTATTACATGCCGGAGCATAGAGTTGATAATTTTTTTTTTATTCTCTACAATGATTTGAATTTTTTTAAGATTAAAATAGAAACCATAACACATTTTGTTATCAATTTCCAAGACAGCAAAAAATATCTGGAGAGGAAAAACTAAAGAAATTTGTTACCAAGTCTGAAAACGTAATTATGTATGTAGGGCAGTTCAGATAGGGAGAAGTCGAAATTGTGTTTCGCCCGTCGCATTTTCCACTTTCCCGTTGGCTTTTCCAATATTTTTTCTCGCCCCCTTGTTTATTTTTTCTCCTAGAAAAGACGCTACTCTTTCTCGATATCAATTTTCCTTCCCCCGTAAGTTATGATACAGTTGACAAGGGAAAATGATGATTTATTTCCGTTAAGGATTTATATAGAATTTTTGTTTCTATTTGCCAGTTTGTTTGTTTCAATTCAGCAAAACCGCGAAATATTAATTAACTCTTTACCGTCCAATTAATCTTGCGTAAACAAAAATTGTCTGAAAAGGTAAAAAGAGGTTAATTAAAGCTTCGATAAGAAAGTTGAAATCGATGTTTTACGTTAATTTACAAATTGATTGGACGATTTTGTCGGTGAAATCTCGAAATGTGTCTAGCACAACCTCTTCAAAAATAAACGGGGAATTCTTAACGCTTGTTGAAAATACAAAATTGAATTCCAGTCTAATTATTTTAATTGCGCCACTGTCCGAGCCGTTTCGCAATTAACGATCCAAACTTTTCTCGGCACAACAAGTAGTTGCGCTTCCTGAAGTTGCCACGCAAATCTATTAATCTACGTTATGCTTCCCATTCCTTTTGCTCAAGGATAAATTGGATTTTCAACTTACTTGAATTCAAATTCGCGAGTAATTCAACTAAGACAACCCGTTTAAATGCTACCTCCTTAAATTATTCAATGTAACTTTTATTGTATGGTAATAAAATTTTCCCCATTCTCTATCCCCAATATTAAAGTTTTATATTTGAAATTTTCAGGTGTCGTGGATTAGACGGAAAGACTATCATCTCCTGACAGTGGGACTGACGACGTACAGCAGCGACGAAAGGTTTCAAGCAATCCACTTACAACACTCCGAGGTAAAACACATCAAATATTAATCAATTTTACATAAAACCGGGGCTTTAACCTACGCTCTCTACATCCGGAGTTTTACTTCACTTTTGTAACGAGCAATTTCAGGATGAACGCGAAAGCAAACATTAAGTTACTTTATATGATTGCGTAAACACGATTTTGTGGGAACCAGGAATCGATTTCCTGTCGGTATTTTTTGCGTATAATACGTTCGCAGTCATTGCAACGTCACAGTCGAGCTTTCATTCGGCTTTCGGAACACGTAAATTGCTATGATTCGGTATGCATTAAAAATTAATAATGTATGTGGTCGCGATTTTTGCATACGTGTACGAAATTGTTCGATTTAACCTTCTCAATAGATGTGTACGTTCAGTCGTTCTCATACTATTCTACTTGAATTGAATACGTTTATTGATTTCACGATAATTTTTTTTAAAATAAAAATTATTAATAAAACGTCAACTTTTTAATTAAAATTTGAAAAATTTCTTAGGTTCTTTAGGGTTTTCCAAAGAATTAGTAACAATACTCAATAATATTCAAAGATTATCCAGAATATCTGTAGATTTACATTAGTTTCCAAATAATTTTAAAGATTTCTATGAATTTCCATGAATTTACACAGGAAAAAATCGTGTCGTGTAAAAATTTTAGAGTAGTTGGTAAAAAGAATAGAGTAAAAATTGTAATACCACATGGTAAAAACAACTCTAATGTACACTATATTTAATATTAATATAGAGTTCATATATTATTCACTTAATAGAGTAGTGTTTACAGTTCTCTAAAGGAGAGTTCTTTTTTATTCATGTTAGTGAAGTTATGTAATATATAAAACATTAAATTTTACACAAGACGTGTAAACTGTACTTTTCCTTCAGGTACTTCGTAGGCATCGCACTATTTTGCTCGGGATTACTCGTCGGTACCACGTGATTAACATGTGGTGTAAACAGCTAAAATTTAACGGTCATTTACTGAACGAGTCGGAACTCGACAGCGTCTCGAGACCTGATTTACGCGATATAAAAAGAAAGAACGATTATTTTTCTTTTAATTATGTTTGCCAAACATTCGTGTTGTGAAATTAGTGGAACTTCCGGAAGATTTTACGTACGAGTTCCTTGCGAAGATTGGTAAGTATGTACAACTATACATACAGAAAACTTATAGAAGACTCATTAGATGCAGTTTTGTGGAAACTTTAAAATGGATTAAGTATGGTTATATAAAAAGAATTTAAAAAAATTGAACAATATATTACAAGTAAAAATAAAAACAAATATTTTATAATTTTGATTTTTATTACAAACCTAAAACCTTCCTAAAAATATTCTATACTTCCTATTAAAAATTAACACTAATAAGTGAAAGATACACACTATTTAGTGATATTTTGTCACTTAATAGAGTAAAATTAGAACGAATCTTTAATAATTTACAGTGTTAATTTTACACTGATTAGATTAGAAATGTATCTAATTAGAGTCACGACAACATCTAGTTAGATTACATATAATACACTGTTATAGTGTAACGATTTTACACTATTTAATAAACACCATCTTTCACTATTTAGTGTAAAATTTTAATCTATTCACCTACACTATATAGTGCAAAAAAATAACTCTAAATATATTGGACCGATCTGAACCATGTTTTAGAGTTGATTTTTACTCTATATTTTTTCCTGTGTATAGTTGGATTTGACAAGAATTTTTCCTTTAAATCTAGGTTACCAAAATAGAACTCATGATAAAGGTTGTCGAAATACGTCATAATTGAATACAGTCATATCAAATAAAAAGAATTACTACATGTAATAACCGTTTCATTGAGATGTTGATGACAGATGGGAAGTCCATCAGATCTTTGCAATGTTTATTATTCCTCCATTTAGAAGAGTTGGAGGTTTATTGTAAGTTTGCAGAATGCAACAATTGCAAAAAGATTACAGAATTTGTGAAACTACAGAGAAAATCCAACTCAAAAAGGATTGCTTTGAACAGCACAATAGGATTTCAAGCTGGAAGATTCAATCTGGTTGCAAATTTTTGGGTTTCTGCTGCACCTAACAAAAAACTAAATGAGCTTAATTGGCAACTTAAAGGTTTGTCTCACTTTATTACGGAATTAACGGAGATGATTTCAAATGTACAACCATTTACCAGATAGCTTAAGTTTTGGGAACAAAATGACACAAAATAAACACTATAGAACACTGTAGTGTTTATTTTGTTTATTTAGTTGTTTATTTTTTACACTATAGATAGAACTGAAAATTACAATCTACCGTCTTGGTGTCAGTTACAAAATGTGAAAAATAAATAAATAAACGCTTTAATCTCTCGTTTAGTCTTAGCCGTAGGATATTTTTTGCTAACTTCTATTTTAGGAGGATCCAATTTAATTGCTTGATCCATAATGACCTAACTAGCTGATTTCCTTCATTAAGAAGTTACAGTTATTTAGAAAATTTGTTATTCCGCTCTGCTTTAATTGCTCGAAGACTTATTTTAAGCTTTTCTTGCGTTTCTGTAGAGATGTACTAAAAACCATGGTGTAATTAAGTATGCATAACAAACCTCCTCAGTTAAGTATCTTAAGGTATTATTCATTTCTCGTTGAAAAATGTATTACAAAGTCCAAACTTCAAAGTCTTGAACTTATCACACTCATCAGCCTCAATCTGACTGACGAAGTCATGATTAGTGAAGGAATTTGCACGACCAAATTTTTATAACTAGCTTTAAATGTTGTATAAATTGTATAAGTAGAATAGAAGGAATTAAAAAAAAAATGTTTGAAGCTCTTCAGCTACAGGATTAATATGGATTATGGTGATTACGACTCTGCATGTCGTCGTTTCAAACTCTTATCACTCCGTCAACGTCAATCTTGTAGTGATGCGTTAACATGCTATAAAATCATTAATAACATAATTGATTCTTCTCCACTAGTAGGAAGTATTAATTTCAGCGTCGCACCCCGACTGCTCAGACTGGATTACTTGTTTTATACTCCTATTTCTCGCTCAAACATTTTCCAAAACTCTCCTATGCTGAGAATAGCTCGTACTTGCGATCATTTTCAGCGCACCAGCTTGGCGACAAACATTTTCCGCAACTCTATTAGGGTATTCAAGCGCTTACTTTCTGTCGCTTCCACTTCCTTTGGTCGCCTATTCTGAATTTGTTGGCTCTTATTTTGTTATGCTATTTGAACTAAAACTAGAAACTTTCGGGTTTTGCGGTACGTCTTTTAAGAAAAGGTTTGACGTTTCGGATGCCATGTTGCAACCTTCTTCAGAAACTGGTTCGAAGTGACGAAATCGAAAATGGAGTACAATATATAAGTCGGAAAAATGATTAATAATTAATTAAAGCTAATTACAAGCTAATTATTAACTAATTGCGTCGCGTCCGGTGTGAGGCGGGAAGAGGTCTTCGTGTTCACCACCATCTTCCATGTTCTGCTAAGCTTCCAGCCATCTTCTCTGTTGACGTTATTTCTATGTCGATGGATATCTATGGCTTCTCTTGTCAGTCTTTGGTAATATCTGTTGTCCCTAGCCAGTACCTTTGTTTGTTCGAAGTCTATTCGGTGCCCTCTGCATGGAACTGTTCCGCAACCGCCGACTGCTGCATCTTCTTCAGCCTTACATCCGTTTCATGCTCTTTGATGCGGCGCTCGACGTTGCCTTCAGTTTGGCCAACATAAACCTTCCCACAACTACACGCTAGTCGGTAGATACCCGCTCCTTTTAATGGAGTTAACTTGTCATTGGCTATCGGGAGTGTGTTCCGAATCTTGCTGATCGTCCCCTATCGCACCACAATGTCGTTTTTCTTGAGGTGCCTGGCAATTCGTTCCGTCACACCTGAAACATAGGGAAGACAGATAAATCCAAGTGGTTCTATAGCACGCCTCGTAGAAAGTGTTGCTCCTTCTTCTAGTTATCTCCTTCACATATTCTCGCTGCTCATTGAAATAAAGTACGGATCACAGACCTCTTCCGTTGGGGATGATGATGATGCCTGCAAATACCTGTTGGTATGGGTCTTCTTCCGACATACACCAAGTTCCATATCTCCATTTGTCGTCCTGGTGACCAACACGTCTAGGAAATGTAGTTTTTTGGCAGTTTCTGTTTCTATGGTAAACTTAATCATCGGATATTGAGCATTCAAGCGATTCAAGAACTCTTGGAGCCGTTTTTTACCATGCTGCCATATTATAAACGTGTCATCCATATATCGGAGCCATAGTTTTGGTTTCACTGGCTCTCCTTCAAAGCGTCTTCTTCGAATAATTCCATGTAGAAATTAGCTATAACTGGCGATAATGGAGATCCGATGGCTGCCAATTCGAACTGTTCGTAAAAATCTCCTTTCCAACTGAAATACGTCGACGATAAACAGTACTCCATTAGATCTGGTGCGTATTCTGGTAATCCCTCGGGAATGAGCTTCAGGCGGAGGCCATCCACAGCATCCTTAACGGGTACCCTGGTAAAAAGAAACTCAACATCGAAACTTACCAAAATATCCTCAGCTCCCTGACATATGATTCCGTGTTCCCTGTAAAAGGAGACAGAATCTTTGCGAGATATTTGGCCAACTGATATGTTGGGGAGTTGATGGCACTGATGATAGGACGGAGGGGGACGTCTGGTTTATGAATTTTCGGTACTTCATAAATTCTTGGTGGTACCGGCGCCTACACAAACAATCCTTTCTGCTGTCCTGCTGGAATTCCTGTGGATTTTATCAGGAACTTCATTTCCGTTACGATTCTATCTGTGGGGTCCTTCTTGATCTTCCTGTAGGTGGCTGGGTCCGGTAGGTTCATTATTTTGTCGTCATATTCTTTCTGGTCCATAACAACGGTGGCATTCCCCTTGTCTGCTGGTAACACGACGATTTCTGACTTTTCTTGAATAGACCGGAGTGCCATCTTTTCACCAACCGTCAAGTTGGATTTCGGTGGTTTTGTTGAC